TAACATAAAATTTACCATCTTCACCATTTTTTAGTGTATTCTTCAGTGGTATTAAGTGCATTCCTATTGTGCAACCATTGCCAGCGTCCATCCAGTGAACTCTTCTCATCCTGCAAAACTGAAACTGTACCTATTAAGCATTTTGCTTATCCATTCATCTATCAGTGGATGCTTGGGTTGTTCCTACCTTTTGACTATTATGAATAATGCTGCTCTGAACATGGGTGTACAAACATCTCTTTAAGTCCTGCTTTTGTTGTTTGTTTGTTTGTTTGTTGTTTGTTTGTTTGTGAGATGAAGTTGCCCTCTGTCACCCAGGCTGGAGGGCAATGGCACAATCTCGGCTCACTGCAACCTCTGCCTCCTGGGTTCGAGCAATTCTTCCACCTCAACCCCCCAAGTAGCCGGAATAACAGATGTGCACCACCACGCCCAACTAATTTTTGTATTTTTAGTAGAGATGGGGTTTCGCCATGTTGCCCAGGCTGGTCTCAAACTCCTGACCTCAAGCAATCCACCTGCCTCAGCCTCCCAAAGTGCTGGGATTACAGACCTGAGCCATCATGCGTGGCCCCTGCTTTCACTTTTTTTGAGTATGTACCCAGACATAGAATTGCTGGATCATATGGTAGTTCTTTTTTTTTTTTTTTTTTTTTAAAGGAACTACCATACTGTTTTCCATAGCTATTACACCATTTTACATTCCCACCAACAGCACACAAGGATCCCAGTTTCTCTACATCTTCACCAATGCTTGTTATTTTCTGGGTTTTAAAAAATATGCCAGGTATGGTGGCTCATGTCTGTAATCCCAACACTTTGGGAGGCTGAGGCAGGAAGATCGCTTGAGCCCAGGAGTTAGAGACCAGCCTGGGCCATAGGGAGAAGCCGTTTACACCAAAACAAAAAAAAATTAGAAAATTAAAAAATTAGGCCAAATGCAGTGGCTTATGCCTGTAATCCCAGGACTTTGGGAGGTCGTGGTGGGCGGATCACCTGAGGTCAGGAGTTCAAGACTAGAGTGGCCAACATGGCAAAACCCCATCTTCATTAAAAATACAAAAGTTAGCTGGACGTGGTGGCACCCGCCTGTGGCCCCAGCTACTCAGGAGGCTGAGGCAGGAGAATCGCTTGAACTTGGGAGGCAGAGGTTGCAGTGATCCCAGATCACACCACTGCATTCCAGCCTGGGTGACAGAGTGAGACTCCTCACAAAACAAAACAAAACAAAACAAAACAAAACAAAACAAAACACTAGCCAGGTGTGATGGCACACACCTGTATTTCCAACTACTTGGGAGGGTGAGGTGGAAGGATCACACTTGAGCCTGACAGGTTGAGGCTGCAGTGAGCTGTGATCATGCCACCGTACTCCAGCCGGGGTGACAGAGCAAGACCCTGTCTCAAAAAGAAAAAGAAAAAAAAAAGTCTGACTGTTTCAGACCCACTCCATAATGACCAACCTGAACCAAGCCATTTCATCTTTTGCCTGGATAACTGCAATGGAGCCCCCACCAGCCTCCCTGCTTCCCTTGTCTCTTATAATTTTCTCAAGGTCACTCCTCTGCTCAAAACCAACAGTGGCTGCCTCCCCTGCTTTCCCAAGTAGACACCAAAGTTCTTACAATGGCCTACATGCTGTCTACAAGGTGTGTTCCTGGCCCTCCCATATTCTGACTCACTTCCTACTTGCTTTCTCTACTCCAGCCACACTGGCTTTCTTGCTGTTCCAAGTAATCTACTGCCTCGGGGCCTCTGCCCTGTTTTCTCTGCCTGGAATGCTCTTTCAGAAGCGTGGTTCCTTCACTTCCTTCAAGTCTTTGTTCAAATGCTACTTTCTGAGTAAAGCCTCTGGGCTGTCTTGTTTGCTCTCCCGGCTCCCATCATTTTCTGCCCTTCTGTCCCCTGTCCTGAGCCTGGGGAGAATGACCCCTCTAGAATGCAACCTGGGCTTTCTTGCCTCAGGCTTCTGAGTGGGTTTGGCGAACAGGAGGTGCCACCAGGAGAAGAAAGGCAAGAGGGGAGAGACGCGGTGGGGGGGTATTTTTTCCCTGCACTTTCTCTGCTCTGCTGTGAGCAGTGGCTGTGCCTTTCTCGATCACAGCTGCATTTGGGAACGGATCCCACACTTCCCTGTCCCCTTATCCACGGACTTCCAATAACATGATTTCCCCTCTGCCCTTCAGTTCTCAAAGTAGTCATGCCTTCCAGCTCTTGCTTGTCTCTGATGACTAACACCCCGGTTGTCCAGGTTCCCTGAACCCTGCCATTTCTCTAGTCCCTTTCTTAAGACTTGAACCTCCTGGCTGGGCATGGTCGCTCACGCCTGTAATCCCAGCACTTTGGGAGGC